AAATACCGAGAGGATATCAATACGCCGCTGGTAATTCAACTTTCTCTTTCGAGAAATACGAAAGTATACCATAATTTCTTAACACGATCTCCAAAACGAGCATAATTTAATCAACGAGCTTAGATATTACAGCATTTTTATCTCGTTGGAGAAGAAAAACACTTCGATAGCCAGAATTCGTTTGATGAAATGACAAAACGCTTCTCGTTGCTATAAATATTTTTAATTTTTACTTGTTCGAAAGCAAAATCACAGCTACATAAGATGTGTGGTTCGATACTCATTCATAATAATAATAATAATAATAATAATATAATAATAATAATAATAGAGAATATTAATTAATAATAATAGATAAAATTATATAATAGCTTTCTTTTCTCTTACATCCATACAGCAGGTATTTTAATACTAAATGACAATAAATTTCCCTTTCTTTTTCTCTTTCTCTCTCTTTCTAACTCCCCTCAAATAGTTTCTACTGGTATACATATATCACTCTTTTACACAATTTCTCTCGTTTTTTTCATACATACAAACTCACGCACGCATTTCTTCGATTTTTATATTTTTTTCTTCATCACCGTCGATGATCGTTCACAATTATATATATATTATATATATATATTATATGTATATATTATATATATATATTATATATATATAATATAGGCTTGATAGTTATAAGGCAACCTCAGTTCGTCGTCGCTACTTCAAACACTCTGTTTCTCTCTATATTTCTTTCCAAGTCTCTCGCGATGATTCATCGAGGTTGGTTCACCCTCTGAACGCACGATCCTCTCGCGATCTCGCCACTTCCGGTATCAAAAAAAAACACGCGCGTGCCGCGAGTTACAATAAATATTACACAGCGTCGATCATCGTCGTTTTCACGGCGAAGTTTTTCGTTACGTTACGCGAAAGGGGATGGAAACGTGACAGGGCTCGAGAGAGAGAGACTCTACATCGTTTATGGCACTCATTTGAAAATGGCTCTCAAGCAGGTTATCAACGATCCTCCGCTTCTTCCTGCAAGCTTCGATACGTGTTTCACGCGATATCGTGACGATCTCGTTGTTATTAGGTTGGAGGATTATAATGATCGAAAGAGGCTTCTTTTTAAGATTAATCGCGAGAGGACGGGGACCGATTTCTGACTAATCGACTTCGTTGACACGCGTAACCTTGCTAATGGAATGATGTACTAGAGACTAATAGGGGAAGATTCGAGTTGAGTTTAGGGAAGAGCTCCTGGATTGCTGGAGACCCGATTTTTCTTCGTCAATAGTTTTGAAACTTGGAAATATTGTTAAAATGTGTAATAATAAGATAAAATAAAATATTGATAAAATGTAACAACGGATTATTAAATATAAGAATTAGTATAGAATTATTAAAAATTGTATAATAATTATATAAATAAAAATTATAAAATCTCGTCTGTTTTACAATCACTTTGATAAAATGTTTTGAAAGAAGAAAGTGTTTTTAAAAAAATTCGATATTTCATATTTAATTATAGAGAATATAGCAAGGATCATATAAGGAAATAAGACTTTAAAAATCTTTTTTCATAAATATTAGAAATTGACATTTGTTACTTATAAAAGATATCGTTGAAAAACTTTTTCTGTATTAGAAAGAGCATTTTTCAAATGTAAGAATTTTTAAAATTCTTAAAGAACTATTTTTGTAACAGTATAAAACTCTTCGTGATATTTTAGAAAGTATCTTTTTAAATTAATTATTTGGTTTCTTCACGAAACATCTTAAGAAACTCTAAGTTCCTTGAATTTCAAAATCTGCAAACAAAATTCAAAAAAAAAAAAAAAAATCAGATCTCCAAAATGTTGGACGATATCAATTTTCATCTTCTTGATTCTTCGCTCACGAAACGCTGGAAAAAAGTGTCTAAAAATCAAAGAATCCTTGTCAGCCGCGAACACCTTCGATCCTATATGCAAGCATCTATCTATGAAAATTTCTATTGATCTACGATCTCAAAAGAAGTGACTATACATATATTTCCAATATTGTCTATGAGAAGATGAAAGGGCAAATTCTTGGCGACTGAGCGTTTCTTTTCTTCATCTTCTTTTCTTGTATTTTGACGCGCTTCTTTAAGGCACTAACTTCCTACGATCGTGTTTCACATCGTTGCTGTGTGTCTTTTGTCTTGTCCTTTTTTCGTATGTCGTTCGTATTGAAAGAATTTGCGTAAATAATCGGTCATCATTGCTAAGGCACGGTCCTACAAGTTCGGGGGGAAACTCTAAAGGCACCCTAGCGCGTCACTCAACGCTCGTATGTTTACATGTCATCCCCAATGGGGATTACGTGTGCTCTAAAAGCTACTATATTTTTTCTTCGAAAAAAATACGCATTTCGATGTCTTCTTTAGGTTCGTCGTGTTACTCGTCGATCGTCTATTGTATTTTTTTTTATTTTGGGGAGGAAAACTTCAACGATACGATAGTTGGAATAGTCGAAAAGTTCCAGCGATGCGATGAAAATTGTATGAAAATATTTATGTAAACGACTAAAGTATTGGACATTCATTGTGTTGTTCATAAATTTTGTAGAGTGAAATTTTAAATTGAAATAAAATTATTATATTTAATATTAAATATTAAAGTAAATGATGAAGATGTTTATAAAAATTTTGTAAACTATTTCATGAATTTAAAAAATCAATTTAAAAAAAGAAACTTTCAATAATCAATTAATTAGAGGAAAGAAACCTTTAAATGATTTTGAAAGAGTTTTCAAATTTTTAAAATTGATCTGATTTAAAATTTTCCTTTTGTGTGAGTAGATAAGAGTAAGTAATAATAAAATTTTTACGAATGAAGATTTAATTACTATGTCGAGGAAATATTTTTTTACTGAAATAGAAATATTTATTTTAATTCGATCGTTGATTAACGATTTCGAAATAGTTATTAGTTAAATAGTTTATTTTGCAATGTTAAGCAAGTTTGTTTTCCAATAGTTAAGCAAGTTCATTTTCCAAGAAAACTTGATAAAATATTCAATTCTATCAAAATTTGAATTTGAATTTTATTTTATCATTTACTTGATCATTTAATAATTTTAGAAGAATAAATTTCTAGAAATGGAGCTTTAACCACTCAGAAAGCAAAAGAAGCAAATTTTTCTAAAAAAAGATCTCTCAATCTTTCTAAATCTTTCTACTATCCCACAAATCAAGAATCTACAATATCGTATCGTTGCTCAGTAACCTTCTGAAAACAGGAACGCGAGAATTCCTACAATATTTTTTTTAAATACGTATATTGCTTAATAAAACGCACACCAGCCGATCTTCTATTTCGAGCATTCGCAATTTTACAACAAATACCTTGCATACGTAGTCTTTCTAAAACTCCACGAATTTGTACATTCGCAAAATACATGCTCTTTAGTTTCTTTCTGCTTTTTTTTTTTTCATTTGATAAAATATCCGCTGGTTTCATTCCAGCGAAGCAACGGTTGCCTGAAAGCGAACGAAGAGTCACCGAATCATCCTTGATCACTGTTCGCTTTGTTTCGTCTTGGCTGGCAGTCTTTTTGTTAACTCTCAGTTTTCTTGCAGATTTTTCTCTCTTTTTTTTTTACATTACTTTATATTCTTTTAATCAATACTGTTTGTAATACGATTAATGAAAAACGTGTACCCTCCTGGCTGCGGCACGTGTCCCGAGAAAGCGTATAATCTTTAGTACAATTCATTACAAATCTCGTCTGCGAGTTCCTTGTCGAATACAAAAGAGGAACTAAGGAAACAACAACTGTGTATTCTTCTTGAAGAAAAAAGTAGAAAAATCATCGCATCATTGACAATTAATTTCTCATATCGTTAATTGAGTAACTGCTTTGAGTGAAGCAGTTTTGAATATGTTTTCAGCAATAAGCAGCAGTAATCGTCAATGATACGATGGACTAGACACAGTGTTTTTTTGACTCACTTTTTGTTTTTGTAATCATTCACGTAGAAAAAAGAAAAATAGTAGTCTGAACTCTGTGATCGTAGACTGCAAGTTTCAGTAAATTCTCAGCGAGAGAAGATCCCATTTTCTCTCTTCTTCTCTGTTTCTCTCGTATGTCAGTTCTTTACATATATTATTAACTATCTATATATTCTAGGAGCTAAATTCGCGACGACTGATTCACGGAGGGTACACGATACTAAAAAAAAAAAAAAAGAAAAAAAAAGAAAAGGAAACAAAAAAGAAAAAAAGAAGGAAAACGAAATGTACAAGGTCTTTTTCTATTTTAAATATCATAGTTTGTCTTTTATCCTCGCGATCTAAAGCTAATAATGATAGGCTCGTCATCCATGATTATTGTCTATGATTCTATGCCATTTTTCTCCCATCGTTTCTCGTCTACGTGGATCTCCTCTTGTCAAAATCACTCTCTGTTCTTCGAAATTCTGCTTCAAAAATCCCTCGTGAACAATTCGAGAAGAACCGCGAAAAGAAGATCGTCGTTGCAATAAATATCTCCTCTCGTAAGTACGAAGTCATCGAGTTTCACTGAACAGTTCCAATTCGATGCATCGACCGGTATCATCCGAACGAGAAGACACACACATCGACAAGATTTATCTCCTGATCGATAGAAAACAGCTGAAGATTCATGACTAGGCCGCTCATTCGGGATCTGCTCCTAATCATCCAGCCATTGTCCGTACGCTAGGCATGGATGATGAGAACGCGGAGCGAAATTCTTCCAGGGAATGTCTACAGGATGCATGAGGAATTGTCTTTTCTTTATTTTAGTTTCTGCTTCTCCTTCCGATCAGATTTCATCCGACTTCAGCCCGCTGTTTCCTTAATCTTGCTCCTCTGGCCACGTGATTGGGCCACGACTCCCCCAAGGAATGTCTACCGGAGACCGGGGAATTTGTCTTTCTCGAGTGTTCTCCAACGAATGACAGTATCAAACGAACGTCGTTATGTGTCCATGTGTCGATACTTGTGAGCGGACATCTGCGCCAAACCCAGCACAGCGTACTGACACTGAAGACAGTGGTAGTGGGTCTGTTTGCCTGAATGCTGGCACTGGACACTGCCGCAGGGTTGACTGGGCGTGAACTTTTGGAAACCTGCAGCTGCTATGCTGTCCAATTTCGCGTGTTGTCGCCGATGAGCGACCACTTTATTGGTATCCGTACAGACGAAGTCGCATTTCAGACAGTGGAAGTGGGACGCTTTGTTCTGCATAGAGCCTAAGGATGATGTGTAGGCACACTGCGCTCTTCCGCAGGGTACGTTGGCTCTGTATTGCTGGAAATCGCCACCCATTAGAGTGTCGAGACGCTCGTGTCTCGCCGTGTGCTGGACGAAACGTGTCTTGTCGCAGAACGAGTAGCCGCAGTCTTGACGCATGCAGTGGAAGTGGGTCTGGTGTTCTCTGTAGCCGCAATGGGGATACCTGCAATCTTCGTTGAATCTGAATCTGAAATGGAAATTGAGAATTAATTATTATCAATTATAGTTAGATTATATACTCGGATTTTTTTACTATTAATATTTAGGATTAGAAAGAAATGTTAACCTTCTGAGTATTTAGTCCGGGTGTTGTACAAATAATTTTACAATCAATGATAAAATATTTATTAGATTTGTGAAAAGGATGATACATTACAATATATTGAATAAATGAATTCTTAATTTGTTGTTAGTATAATTTTATTAGTTAAATATTTATATAGTAAAATATAACACAGGATATCAAAACTAAAATGTAACATACAAGAACATACACGCGGAAATTAAACCTTGAGAGAAAGAGAGACGTAAAATAACACAAACCTGACGTATCCTTCCGGCACAGGTTCGTCTTTAAGCATCCGCATGGAATGATGAAGTCTCTGTTTCTTCGCCTCGGGTGAATTGCTATCAGGCGGCGACAGGGACCTCTTATTCAGATTAAGATTCGCCGCCAACGAGGCCAGAGGATTCTCGTCTCTGGCCGGAGGTAGAAAATTAGTCGGTGGTAAACCAGGGGCGAACATCAAACCCGGTCCACCTGTATACATGCCACCGTGTTGCAAGAATGGTGGCAGAGCTTGGTTCATAAGAGCGATCTGCTGGTTCATAGCAGCCATTACAGCCGGGCTAGGGAAGTGGAAACCGTGGCTGAGGTCCAGCTCGAAACTAGTCGGGACTGGCGATTGTTGAACACTGGGTGGCATACTCGGCTGAGACAACTGGCCATTCTCGTTGTTATCCATCACCGAATTGTTCCCATCGTCTCTGGACACTTCGCTAGGCTCCCTCTTGACATTCGGAACACTCTGAACGCCGATGTCCGAGCCACACCTCGCTGGCTCGATCTTCACCTCCTTCACTTGCGTCTGTTGGCTCATCTGGCCCAGAGTCTGTTGCATCTGACGTTGCATCTGACTTTGGAAGTTTTGGATATTCTGCGCCATTTGAGCATTCTGCGCCATGAAGTCGTGCTTCTGCGACAGCTGCGCCAGATAGTCGTGCTGCAGTTGATTGGGCGTCTGACTGGCCAGCTCGTGTTGCTGTTGACTAAGGATGGCGCCTGTTGAATGCTTAGCTATGTGCGCCACTAGTCGGTCCAGTTCGGAGAACGCCTGATTGCAAGCGTTGCAGTGGTAGTGGTTCTTGCGTTTTAACTTGCAGAAGGGCCTGCTGCAGCTTTGCTCTGGTCCGTAGAGGATGTGCGGCGAGGCTGAAGATGTGGATGGTAATACCGGAGACTCTGCAATGGAGAGGTTTCGCTTAAGTACAGATTGTCGATTTCCGAAGATTGAGCAAGGCGAGAAAAGCGACGATTGAATCGAACACAATTCAAGGCGATAAATATTTGGTCGTCGTATAGAGACACGAACCTTGGTGCACGGAAGTTCGCATGGATAGCACGACGCCCGGAAGTGCGGGTTCACTCGGCGGTCCACTGACCGGATAATAGGTGCCTGCCGCCCTCACCACTAGCAACAATCAACCAAACAACCAACACTTCAAATATACCTCCCACTAGAATTACAACCACCTTACAATAGATACATCAAACGCAACAAGAGAAAAAAAAAAAAAA